TTTGAACAGTCTTGAATTTGCTTCGAACAGTCTTGAATTTGCCTCGAAGAATTGAGAATTGTAGTTGCCCTCCATTGATGAAGCTTTTGTTGGCACCATAAATTGGTTTTGCTTCACACTGTCTTGATCAAGAGTGTGTGAGGCTTTTGAGAATTGTGGTTGCCCTCCATTGATGAAGCTCTTGTTGGCACCATAAATTGGTTTTGCTTCACATTGTCTTGATCAAGAGTGTGTGAAGCTTTTGAGAATTGCGGTTTCCCTCCGTTGATGAAGCTCTAGTTGGCACCATAAATTGGTTTTGCTTCACACTGTCTTGATCAAGAGTGTGTGAAGCTTTTGAGAATTGTGGTTGAACTCCTTTGATGAAGTTTTTGTTGGCACCATAAATTGGTTTTGCTTCACATTGTCTTGATCAGGAGTGTGTGAAGCTTTTGAGAATTGTGGTTGCCCTCCATTCATGAAGCTCTTGTTGGCACCATAAATTGGTTTTGCTTCGTTTCAACTTATTGTCTTGATCAAGAATGTGAAGCTTTCTACGAGTTGTAGTGTTTGCATTGTTACAGAGGGGAGATGTCTGAAGCAAATGCAAGAGGGCTAAATAGCTTGTTCTTCATATGCTGTGCACTGAAGTTGTTGTTGGCTTACAATAGGATTTGTTGGTGACTATAACTCTTGTTGGGCATCAGTGCTCCCCTAGTTAAGTTGTCAAGCTTGAGGGTTTTTTTATTATTTGTGAATGCTAGTAGTTCACATGTACAGGTTGTACCACTCGTCCTTCTGGTAGGTGGAATGAATGGTGAGTTGCTTTCATCACTTGGTTGGTGGTACGAAGGTGAGTTCTTTCATCACCTTTCATCACATTTCATCACCTGGTTGATGGCATGAGGATGAGTTCTTTCTTCACCTGGTTGGTGGCATGAATGGAAAGTTGCTAAATGATATTAGAGTACGGGTTGTACATTTCATCACCTGGTTGGTGGCATGAAGTAGAGTACGGGTTGTACATTTCATCACCTAGTTGGTGGCATGAAGATGAGTTCCTTCTTCACCTGGTTAGTGGCATGAATGGCAAGTTGCCAAATGATATTAGAGTACTGGTTGTACATTTCATCACCTGGTTGGTGGCATGAAGAAGAGTACAGGTTGTACATTTCATCACCTGGTTAGTGGAATGAAGAAGAGTACGGGTTGTACATTTCATCACCTGGTTGGTGGCACGAAGATGAGTTCGTTCTTTACCTGGTTGGTGGCATAAGTGGCAAGTGGCAAATGATATTAGAGTACGGGTTGTACATTTCATGCATGAAGATGAGTTCCTTCTTCACCTGGTTGTTGGCCTGAGTGGCAAGTTGCCAAATGATATTATAGCAAGGTGTCGAGGCACATTTCATCACCTGGTTGGTGAGAATAAGGGCAAGGTGTCGAGGCACATTGTAGCAAGTGTCGAAGACACAAAGTATGTTGAACCCATTCGAATCACAGTTGGCTTATGTATGGATGTGTTGGAATGTATGATGTTTATGTATGAATGTGTTGGAATGTATGATGTTTATGTATGAATGTGTTGGAATGTATAATGTTTATGTTGTTTGATATGAGTGATGCTTATGAATGTTTTGCTATCCTAAGGGATCCATGCTTTTGATATGTGAACTATGTTGGTTGTAACACTTAGTATCACATACTTTGTGTCAAAGTACGCATGTTGAAGCTCTGAGTTGAAGTATAAGGGTAGGTCAGCTTAGACCAAGTGTTCCAGTCCTAGGAATGCAAAAGACTCAGAAGAAGTTGTCTGAATTCCCTATTCTTTAAATATTTACTGAATGGCTTGTGTGACAAAGGATCTTAAACGGTTGAGAATCAAAACAGTTGTAATGTGTATGCCTTCTTATAATAGCATTTCCTTCAGTACCTAGTCCTCCACTTTGAAACAGTGAGGCTTGGCCCCATAGTCATAATAGTCGACGGTACGTTCACCCCTGGTTGTCTTAATATGAACTTTTGTCCCTCTTGTTGTAATGGGCTTCCTGAGAGTAAAAATCCTTCCTCTTACCAAGAGACAGATACGTTTGGTGACTTAGTGAGTAGTTAGTAAGGCAGGAGATGATGCAATGGGTGTTTGAATGGCCAATATCTCCTCACTTGGTAAAACTTGATTTCCAATTCCCATTTGTTGATAGGGTTTAACCATATGGGGGTTCCTTTGGTATGTCCTTGCTTTGGCTGAGGCGTGGTTGTAAGCCTATGCCATCACCTCAGAGTAAGTCTTCTAAGTGTTGGCATTGATCAAGTATTTGAAAAAACAATCACGTAGGCCTGCTGTGAAGGCCTTGAAGGCGGTCTTGTCATCTCCCTCAGCGCAGCGAGGAAACTCATGGCTGAAGCAACTAGCATACTCTTGTAGTGACTTGTCCGGCTTCTGTCGAATAGTGTACAAGTCATCTGCAGAATGCAAGTGATTGGTCTGGAAGATGTGTTAAGAGACAAACAGTTTCCTCAATTCCTCAAATGAGTCTATTGTCTCAGGTGGAAGACGGTAATACCAGTTTAGAGCTCCGCCAGAGAAGGTGGAGGGGAAGAGAAGATATCGCTCTTCGTTGGTGTGCATCCGATATGCCATGGTGGACTCAAAAAGGTTAAGATGTTCAATTGGGTCCTCTCTTCCAGTATAGTGTTGTAAACCAAGCTTTTGTTGTTGAAAATATGCCCTGAAAGTCAATCTTTGGAAGAAACCTTTCAGGACAATAAATGGATGTATAGATGACTCTTATACATCAAATGGCAAAGATACTATTTAGGACTATCTCTATAAACGATATATGTCCTAAATAATGAATCCATGGACAATGGATCGATGGAAGAAGTAATCTAATGATATTAGACTACAGATACCTTCTTCACATAACCATCATGTCCAAAAAGGTTCCTGGTCATATGATTGTCAGAGGGACATTGACAATGCAAAGACCAATACATACTATGTCCCCTTCAATTGGAAGGATGGAAAGTCTCATCCCATTCGTGTAGTGACACTAAGACAGGTATGTAGGTGCTCATTAAAGGAATGAGTTCACTGAACACAATTGAACGAGAGTACTTGCATGGAGGCTTACTCACATGTCAAGCAAGTAACTCTAATGGTTAGAGTAATGTAAGTAGTCCTTTGACCTGAGGCATCGTAGTTGTCTTGTGGTTAGGTCCTTGATCTTTGATTATTTCAAAGTCACTCCATTCGCGGGTGTCCACGGCATAGTTGGGGTTAAGCCACTTAGCCATGGAGGCAAGTAAATGCACAACAAGGGATCTCTAATCCTCGTTATGAGAGGAAGAATACTCTAAGATATGATTCGGGAATCTTCGACCGAAGTATCGAGGGTAATAAAGGAAAGCGTTCCTATACGACTCAATTGAATCATATAACATGGAATAATCACATTAGGGGTTTGACATAATATATCCATACCCTAATAATGTGATTAAGAGTATTGTATTAGAGAATGATCGAATTACATTGTAATTCCAACTGAATAGGTTCTCCGAACAAATTCTACATTAGCTTGGGTAGTCATGATATATGGTTAGATGTCACTCATGGCTTGTGAGTTCTTCTAGATGATTAAATGTAGTCGTGAAAGAAGAAGGTGAATTAAAAGTAAGTTTTAATTCACTAAGTGATTGGATTAAATATAATCAATTGGATTGGTGCCAATCACCTCACTGCCTTACTAATTAGAACCTAAAATGATTGTACACTGATACACTCTTGTAGTGAGTAACTAATGGATGATGGAAATAATTAATTGGATTAATTAAGTGTTGTGATTAATTAGAAAGTCTAAAGAAATCATAAAAGCGATAAAGATCGTTTTGGGCTTAAAGAAAAGTTCGGGTTAATATGGGCCCATTAAGCCCAAACCCATTGGGCTTTTATTTAAGCATATGATGACTTGAAATAATAAAAGCCCAAAGCCCAAACAACACTAAAGGGGGCCGGCCAAATAAAGGGAAAGGGAGAGAGTGAGGAAGTCAAGTTGTTGACTTGTTTCTTTGTATTATAAAAGGAACTTTATAGTGAAAAATTCATTAGGGTTTTTGTGTGTTGTTTTTCACAAAAGGAAGAAAACATCTCTCTCTCTAAAACCACACAAGGCCGGCCACCATAAGGAGTTTTAGCTAATCATCTTCTCTCCCTTTTGGTTATTCCTCCATCCATCTCACTACACTAGTGGGTGTGGATCTTTAGAGGTCTTCTACTTTGGAGACTAAAGGAGAACCAAGGAGCACTCATTCTAACAAAGTGGAGGAGGCAAGGAGGGAGGCTAGGCTCAAGGAGTTCAAGGAACAAAGGGCTTGGAGGTGGTCCATCCTTGGTCTAAAGTCTAGATCAAGAGGTATAAAACTAAACCTACACTTTGTTCTTCACTAAAATGTTTTGATGCATCTTATATAAACCTATGCATCTTGAAGGGGATTTGCATGACTATAGCTTTGATATTATGTGATAATATGCTTCCATTGCTTTCGTATATAAATTTTGAATTGTATATGCATGCTAGTCACTAGAAATCCCACATAAATCTCATATTTTCCCTTCATTTGTTTTGTCTTCGCTTGAAGGGGGTGTCTAGGATCCTTCTTGTGAAAGGGCCAGGCCTGGGTTGGTTCCTGTCAGGTATCTCGCCCTGGCGATTGGCCTTCAACTTGTTTACTTCCTCAAGGAGCTGTAGGACAAGGGGGTCTTGAGTGGAGTCATGTACCACTGGAATTTTCTTTCGTAAATCTCCATCTCCTCTTGGAAGTAGGAAGGTTTGATCAAGAGCATGTGATTTTTCCTTGACGGTATATATATACAAATCAGTAGTTGGTATCGATGGCAAAGAAGGGGGCATCTTCATCAAATCCTTCAGCTACATGGAATGCCCACAATATATCTATATTTTGTGATGTTTGCATCAAGGAGCTTGAGGCCGGACATCGTCCGGGCACTCACTTTGACAAAGATGGATATGCAAATATTAGAGCTAACTGAAAGAAAGCAACTGAAAAATAAGTGGGATGCACTTAAAAATGAGTGGAAGTTGTGGAAAGAGCTAGTGGGTAAAGAAATTGGCCTAGGGTGGAATTCGAGCAAGGGTACCGTTGATGCCTCTAGGGAGTGGTGGAATAATAAAATTCTGGTTTGTGTATTTATCTTTTAATATGTATTATGATATCATGCAATATGTATTAACCATATTCTTTCTTACTTGTAGATAAACAAAGAATATGGAGAATTGCAAAAAAAAGGCATTAGTCCTCAAATGGAGGACAAGTTAGATAGTATGTTCTTAAGTACAGTTGCTACCGGTGAACATGCATGGGCACCTTCATCTGGAGTACTACCACCAGAGTCAAGAGAGGAAGCTATAGGACAAATTGATTCAGATGATGAGGAAGAAACTGAGACTATGCAGGATCTAAGGCAAGCTAGTAGGAAGGGAAAAAAAAGAGCGGCTAACCAAGGAGAATTGCGAAAGAAGAAGGTTGATAAGAAAGGGAAAAAAATTGGAGGTGCTGCAAAACTTTGTGGTCAAATTGACCGTCTTGTTGAAGCTTATGAAACTAGGAGTTCTACAGACTCATTGATGAGGTCGTTGCATATAGGTAGTAGTATTCCGGAAGTATTAGCGATTGTTGCACAATTGCCTGGCTGTGAGCCACCTAGCGAGTTATGGTTGTTGGCTACGTGTTTATTTTGTTCTGCAGATAAGTGAGAGGTGTTTACCACGATCCAAGTTCCTGAAGTCCAGCGGACTTGGTTGAAATATATGTTCAACAAAGAACAATAAGAAGCTATAACTATGAATTAGGACTTTGCATTAAGACAATTTTGGTCATTTTACACCGTCACAACTGTTTTACATAAAAGTTTACCAAACACTATAATACTGCTTTTTTTTTCAAAAGCACTATTACAAAAAAGTTTACCAAACACTCTGCTGCTTTATTTCACAGCTGTTTATTCTTATAGCACAGCAGAAGTAGCTTTTTTTTCACCACACAACAATACCAAACCAGCCCTTTCGTCTGTTCTGTCTTCTCTCTCTCCCTCTCTCCTATAGCACCATCCATTGAAGAGAAGCTTTAGGCCTTCAAGATTGTTGCAAATCCAAAAATACAATTTTCTTTTTCTAGCCTTTCACTAACTTTCAACTGGAAAAATCTGAAAACAGTTTCAATTTCAACCTACAATTTCTTGTTTTCATTTTGTTTCGTGTTCAATGCCCTTTATTTCGTGTTCCTCTTGCTAGAATGTCGGAGAGATTACGGAAAAAAATAGTTTTAAACCTTACCGTTCGATATATGGCGAACTGTCAGGATTAAGTGGTCCAAAGGATCCGTGTGAAATGGGTCCAAAGATGATCCAATTCCAAAAAACCTGTCATCACTAGTGGAGCCACTCATATGGCTAAGGTGGGCGGTCTAGGCCAGTGAGGATTTTTGGTAAACTTAGGCTTTAATGACTCATGTTGATGCATGTAGTCTATGTACTCCACTCAATTTTAATACGGTTATTATTTAATATATATATTTAGTGCATGATGGGATATAAATAATACTTTTTATGTTAAAAATAATAAATGAGTTTTCTCTCCGTTTCCCACCCTTTGATCCTATTCGTTAAACAAAAAGACCATTTACTCTATGCAATCTAGTCTCTATGCTTTTTACTTAAGAAAGAAAAAGAAATTTGTTTTTGAATCCACCATTCAATCTCTATATCCACAATTTTCTTACTTTTCATTGAGATTTTCCAATGAATTTCACCTTCTATGTGTTATGTATTTCTTTATTCAATTATTCTTGATTTAATTAGTGGGTTAATTATTTATATCTCTATTAATTAATGAAACCCTCTTTGTCAACCAAAAGAATGTGAAAAGACTACTTAGTCTTCTATCACACAAAAACAATGATGGGCAATAATGTAATTTCATAGGTCCAAATTTTACTGTTTTTATTGAAATCTCACATACAGGTGATGTTAAAATACCTCCAATATTTAAAAATAAAAAATAAAAAAAAATAAAAAAAAACCAAAAACAAAAACCTCCCACTCCCCCCATGTTTTCTCTATCTCCCTCTCACCTTCTCATTTTCTAAAAAAATGTGTTCATAGACATGGTGTATAGGAAAATGCTAGCGGTCATTAAGTTCATTGATTAGGGTTATGTTTTTGAGAATAGCTTATATTTCATTGTTGTTATTCAATGTTGATTATTATATAATTTATATAGCAAAAAATTAAAGGAAAACTAATGAAAATTGTTTGAAAACTTTGAATTTAACCAAAAACCATGTAATAACTTTATTTAATGGTTAGGATAAAGCCCAACATTAAACCAGTCCATTTAAAATGGCCCAATTATTAGTTTTCGGTTTTGCCCCTGACGGCAAGCCTTTTTCCATTGAATTTCATTTACGGATCTCCTTACTATTCTATATCTCCTTTATTTCTTCCTGACATTCGAAACTTTCCATTTTTTTCTTTCTAATTTCATATCGCAACTCCATCTCCATCATTATGCAAAATCATAGATCTGATCTGACTCCAAACTTAATTTTGATCCATCTCCATCTATGTCAAAATCGCAGATGATCTCTTACATGCAAAACGATGTCACCCTTTCTCTCTCTCTGCCCCAATATTTCAGATTCTCTTTCCCTTATGTAAAGATGAGAAGAGACCTAGACTTTTCACTGACATCGGCAAAAAAGCCAAAGGTAAGCAATTGTTCACACACACACACACACACACACACACACTCTCTCTCTCTCTCTATCTCTCTCTCCCTCTCTCCCCTATTTTTTCTCTCTCTGTCTCTATCTCTCTCTCTCTCTCTCTCTCTCTCTCCCTCTCTCCCCTATTTTGTCGCTCTCTTGATTGCGCATAATTTGCACCTAAAAGAATGTGTTTCGGCTTCTGTTGCTGATATTCTGATCATGGACTACATTTGTAATCAGAAATCCACCGTCGCCATCTACGGCAATGCCAGCATGGTATGCTTTTGAAGCTCTAATTTAATTAAAATGTGTACATGTAATTGAGCAATCAAGAAATATAGTTTGAAATTGTGAATTAGGAGTTCGGATCAATGTTGTTTCTAGTGTTGATTGTTTTACCTAGATCATAGTGCCAATCTCATACTATTTTTTTGTGTCAGGTTCGAAATTGAGACTGAAGTATTTAGAATTGAGTCATTTTTGTAGTTTATAGCGTTTCTTTGTCCAAGGAAATAGGTATATACGTTTTATTTATAAATTTGATCATACACTTTGCTTTTCTTATGCCATGTAATCATAAAACATGGAAATCATTTTGCTCATCAAGAAATCAGTTTATATGTTATTAGAAACTTATTTTAAATTATTCTGATGCTTTAGCATTTTTAAGCTTTGATTTCTGAGTTCTTTCTATTTTATTGTAATTTTACATTCATCTTTCCACTATCTGAGTATATTAGTTTAAGTATCTAATGTTGTTTTCACTTTTAATGTACTTCCTCGGTTTCAAACTTAAGTGTAACTTTTCTATGAACATATTCCCAGTAATCCACATTTCAACAGTACCCCAAAACTTTTCAAGACAAATGATTAAGCCCACAAACCTCAACCAATGCACTATCCAACTCCCCTTTAACCTTGGAAACCTCAAAGATGGTTGTCTCCAACTGTGCTTTAGTCACTTCCAATTGTTTCTGGAGCCTCACGTTCTCACCATTCCGCCTTTTCAAACTCTCAAAGTTTTCATCCTTAAGGCGGATGGCATCAGCCAAATCTTTGCTCGTTTTTATGGCGTCATTCACGAGCTGCTAATTCTCTTTAAACTTTGCCTTGTACCGCTCGACTTCTCGTAATCTGTCATCGTACTTGGTCATGACCTACATGACAAGATAATCATCACTACCAGGAAAAAGAGGGGAGAAAGCAAAGAAATGACAAAGTAACACTTACATAAGAAGATAACCTCATCATCCGATCACGATCTGATTTGTTCTCATCTAGCGGCTCGCCAAGCTCATCAACAGTGGATCGACATCCTGCCAGGCAATTATTGACATACCTAAAACTACTTTGCTGCATGGCAACCTTCAAGTCCTTCCAATGAATGCTGCCAACCTCTTCCTTGTACTTTCTCTTATGGCTACAGCTAAGGCCACCTTCTTGGTCAGTAGACTCCATGGTTGGAGGACATATGGGATTGATGGTAGGAAGATGAGGCAACAGTCGTCTCTCCTCCTTTGCAACTATGGTAGCAGCACACCCGATAGTCTCAGCTTCAGCCTTCTTTGAGGCATCAATCTTGAGGACCTCCTCTTACAACTTAGGTTTAGGGGTTGGCCTCACCCGGAGCTTACGAGCTCATTTGTGAAACAAAATGTTGTCTACAGGAACTAACATGGGTGCTTTCCCTTTATTGGCGTTAGTCTCCCCTTTCTTGCCCACTTTCTCCACTGAACAAGAAAAATCAAAGTAAGGAATGCAACTTTGTAAAAGAAAGAGGGGGCGAAATGAAAGACACAACTTACTTGCTCGTCTCTGGCACTCTGACACTAAGGGCTGGAAACCGTACTTTCGAAATAAGGGTCGTAGCTTGCCCAAATGTCTATCCTCTTTGGGCACCTTCAACACCTTCTCTATGTCAGCTAGCTTCCATCCAGACAACTTGATGGTCCCTCGCGTCACTAAATGAAGAAAAAATGTTAGAAGCAAAAGAAAATCACAACAAATAGCAAATAATGCAAACAATGGATACATTACAACCTACAGTCTGGAAATGAGTAGGAACACATCGCTCAGGCGTGACACCTTTAGCATACTCCCAATCATTATATAGAAAGCACCAACAGTTTTTCCAAGTGCAGTACGCCTTTTTCTTACCAAAGACAATACGCCCTCTCTCACTCCGACATGCACACTCGGCATACCCAGTGCATGCTTTCACTGGGCGCATCTTATAGCAGTAGCGCCATTGATGAAAGAAAGGCTCACCTAACCCACATTCCATCCAAATAATATAAAACCCGATCAAGGTATCCCAAAAACCAGGGTAGAGTTGCCTAGGCGTATATCCAATGAAAGACGGCATCCGTTGCAACCACGGGTGCAAAGGCAGCTTCACCCCTAAAGTCAATAATATCTGGGTATAGAACATAACATGACCCTTGGGTGGTTCAAAGGACAATTCTTCATGATGCACCAAACGCATTCCTACACTACGGGGGATATTACATGACTGCCTTATGGCCTTAAGCTGTTTTTCGCTATCTAACAAGTTTTGCACTAAATGGTCTACTGTGAACTCAGAGCAAAATATGGGTATGGCGTCACAAATAACCCTCTCACTCGCTGACATTAAGGAGGAAGAACCAATATTGGCTAAGGCTTGGCAATTGCGAGGATCACCCAATCTCGAATTTTTTGTACAAGACTCCAACATTACAAGTTTAAACCTAGAGTTAGAGTTAGGGGAGCCCCCATCACTAGGACTTCCAAACTCTGACATCTACAACAAATAGAAACAAACTCTATCACCACATGAAAGATCGAAACATAAGGAAGTTCCTAGGGTATGGAGAAAAGCTTAATCAGTTCATTATGTTCTCAACTAAATACATGAACACTCAAACATTCAAACACATTAGCTTCATCAATTTATGGTGCCAACAAGAGCTTTATCAAAGGAGTTCAACCACAATTCTCAAAAGCTTCA